AATTCTGGGGATGACTGAACCACCACTCCCTGAAGAATTTGTTAAGGATTGCAGAGGAGTGCCAATAAAAAATGTTTAAACCACAGAAAATGAAGTGTGGTTTACACAAAGTGTGAAAGCTTTAGGTGTACAGGAAAATACAATGGAGGTCTGAGTAGAAGCAGCAACAATAGTTAGCAGCCAGTGACTCTGCGCCATGGGATGTGTGTGGCTGCTCCTTGATTTCTTACTCTTTTGTGTTTTATTTTTCTTATGCATATGCATTATTTTTATAATTAGGATAGAAGGAAAGGTGATCAGTTAAAAAGAACGCGTTCAAGAGAATCCTTGATGTGATTTATAGGTCTTCACTTACAGGTTAACTCAAGTAAATGGAAAGGAACTTCTGCTCAGGCACAGCCTTCTGCAGGCTGGCACTGGGTAAGAGAGACTGCATTGTCTCTCAACACATCTTGTTTTTTTTCCCCCATCGTTAGCAGTCCTAGACTGTCACACCCAAGATAAGCCTCAGGAATGTTTCCATATATTATTAGCCCTGTCTTCTTCAGCACACGTGGGTGATGTCATGTCATTCACCATCGGCCTGAAGTATTCTGACTCATCCATCAGAATGTAGAGATCTTGGACACTAGCTAGCATTTAGCACAGTGGAAACCCCCCAAAAGTGCTCAGCCTGTTTTTAGACCAATTATTTTTAATTCCCAGTGGAATAATGGAAACAGATAGTTTTAAGAGTAAAGGTAATTTAGGTCTGTTTCTATCTTTTGACATTGTTTTATAATAACTTTTAAATATATGAATATATGTAATAATAAAGCAAAAGAGGCTATCAGCTAGGAAAGAGGGGGCTTGAAGGGGGCAGGAACATACATTGGGCTGGAGGGAGGAAAGGGAAGGAGGAAGTGATATGAGTATATTTCAATTAAAATATAAAAAAACATTTGGTACCTTAAGGACTGCTTACTTTCAGGTTTTTTAATTATTTATTTCTTCTGGTAAATACCTGACATTTGGAAGGAATAATAATGCTCAAGAAATTTGAACACGAGGCTATCTTTGGTGCGCTATTTCTTTTCTCTAGTGCAGCTCCTTGTTACAGACTCAGTAACGGGGGGGGGGTCTTATTTCTTCACCTGATGCACTGAATAGCAGAAAAGGGAAAACCATAGAAACCACCTTCTTTTAGGAGAGTCCTTGAGACACAGGTGGGATTGGGCATGAACTCCAGGGGACCAGAGGACGGCCCTCACTGCCACCTTACAAAGTCCTGGACAGATGCCTTGCCTGTAGATTGCACTGCTTGTTGCTCTGGACATCTGACACTAAAAAGCCATGTGTTTTGTATTTTTGCATATCTGAATCTTAGTCAGATGAATTAAAAATAAATATTTAAGTAGGTTCCTTACTTCCTATCAGGGAGGACTTGACACAGGCAATTTGCTCAGCAAGTTTTTTCTGTTGGCTCGGGTTTGTGCCGCACTGCGATGTGATGTTTGCTTCTGATGACTCCAGTGTGCCCGCACTGTGTGATCAGTGAACAGAAAATGCCAGCACTGTCTGTGGAAGACTGCATGATAACATGCAACCCCAGTGACATAAATAAATGGGTCTCAGGAACAAGGAGCCATTAATCTGAATGAAAATATTACCACACACTGGGCAGATTAATCCTGGCAGTTTAATGGCAACAGCCTTCATTTGCAAAACCTACTCAGTGCTCTCACAAATGCCAGAGCAACAGGCACACACACACCAATATTTACTGTGACTCTTGTGCGGCACTTGGGTAAAACCTTCCCATTTCAGGAAGAGTGAACTCCTAAGTGCTACTGTTCTCAAATGGCCTCGCCCTGAAAATTGATTGTCATTTCAAGCAAGGTACTGTAAGCATTTTTGCATTTTGTTGCTTGATGTTTGGGAAAGCTTCACAAATCTGGAGCCAAAAGAAATGAGTGTTCTTTTGCTGTCCTCAGAACTCCTTAGCTGATTTATGGGACAATTAAAAAGTTAATCTAAGCTGGGAGCAGTAGCTCATACCTGTAATCCCAGCACTTTGTGAGGTTGAGCCAGGAAGATCATAAGTTTGAAAGTATCTTGAACTACAATATAGTGAGTTCTAACCTGGCCTGAGCTAGACAGAGCCTCTTCTAAAATAAAAACATTATTATAGAAGTTTTATTCAGTTTGACTTTTGTCAGTAATCTCTTTGTCAAGAAAAATTAAAACAAATTATAGATGCATATTTTCTACTTCTGATTTTAACATTTGTGTCTATATCTGTCCATATATATCTGTTTTTTTTATTTGCTAATATTTGATGTTAGATCAAGGCCTAGTAAGAACTCCTTACAATTTTTTTTGCATAAATCATACTCACAATGCTAATTTTTTTAGGATTTTCATGTATTTATCTGTGTATACACACACACACAGTGTATATGCATGCGTGCAGTGATGCTGGGAATAGAACATAATACCTGCTAAGCCAGAGCTTTACCAATGAGCTATGTCCCTCTCTCTTACTTAGTAAGTTAAAGATACTGTGAAATAGTTAAAGTACAGAATTCTTCTAGACCTTTACCAGCTTTCTCCCAACCCTTTTCAGTTAGCTCGCTGTATTTCTTTCTTTTTGTTTTGTTTTGTTTTTTTCGACACAGGGTTTCTCTCTGTAGCTTTGGAGACTGTCCTGGAACTTGCTCTGTAGACCAGTCTGGCCTTGAACTCACAGAGATCTGTCTGCCTCTGCCTCCCGAGTGCTGGGATTACAGGTGTGCGCCACCAACGCCCGGCTAGCTCATTGTATTTCATTCAATACTATTTTTATAATTCTTCTTTATGAAGTTCTTCAAATAGTCTGCTTAATTTTGACACAAATAACATTTTTTAAAAACAGTTTTGCCAACTTATTTGATGTCATCTGTTTACATAATATTTAATTTCAAAATTGAAACTGCATAAAGAGGTAAGATGGCTCAGTGGGTAAAGCACTTGCTACGCACACTAACAATTTAATTTCAGTTCCCAGTTCCACAACGTAAGGAGAGAACAAACACCTGTAATTTGTCCTTTGACCTGCACATGTTTGTCATGGCACACATATGCAAACACACAAATAAAATGTAATAAACATTAAAAAAAAAACACTGTTCCAGTAGAAAACCTAAAAGAAATGGGTGAATTGTTAGACACATCTAGTCTACATACATTAAAACAAGATAATACCAATAATTTAAAAACAGACCTGTGACAAGCAAGGGGATTAATGTGGTAATAAAAAATTGAAAGTTCATTAATGAACTCAACTGGCGTAAGCAACTGTGAGAATAAACTCAAGGAACTTGTCAACATGCTATTCTGCTGGTGGGCTACACATGCTGTGGCACATGAGAGTCCACTAGATGGAGATTTGTTTAGAGCACCCCAAACTTCATTTAGCAGGCTTTGCAGCGAGAGTGGGAAGCATTGTTGAGCTAAGATTGTTACCTTTCCCTGTAAACATTTATAAATAACTACAGCTGAAAACTGATAAAAATTTAATTTTCACCATTGTTCTCTGCTTTCTTTCTCAAATGAAAAGCCAGAGGTAGTTGAGTAAATACTAATGAAACTATTATTTAATTTGGTACATGCTGACATTGATCTATTATACTACTTTGTTTATTATGTATGTGCTTATTAATTGATTGTGATGCTGTTTCAACTTTTCAAGAGTAGAGAGCAATGTGTTCTCAAATGTGAGGAGAAGTTGGAAAATGGACAGTTGGGACCGTCAGACACTTAAGTACAGTGCTGCCTGTGACAGACATCAAGTGTAAAGTTAACAGTGTGTCTGGCCCTATTAAACAAACTAAACAAATAAAGGTCCAGTCTCCTTTTTTTTCTTCAGACAGGTTCTAATGTGTGTAACCTAGGCTGGTCTCAGTCATCAGGTGATCCTTTTGCCTTAGCCTTCGAACTGCTGGGGCTCCAGGCCTCTCCTTTGCCCCTTATTTATTTTTTGAAGCATTATAAGCTTTAATGGGTAGATTTGATGATGGCTTTGAACTCTTGGTTCCCCTGCTTCTGCTTCTAAATGTTGAGATTACACATGGGTGCCACCTGGCTTGTTGGATCTTGTTCTTTCTTTCTTTGATTTTGTTGTTGTTATAAGATCTTCCAATGTAGCCCAGGCTAGCCTCAAACTGGCAATCCTGACTCCAGCCTGTAAGCACTGCAGTTATAGATATGCAAGCACAACTTGCTCTGTTTTCCCCTACTCGATGCACAGGGACCTTTAAGGGTGTGTGTATATGTGTGTGAAAGAATACAAGAGAATGTTAATTGGGAGGATTTCAGGTATTAAAGAGACAGAAGGATGGAGTGTAAATGAAATGTTTGAAACACATCTGAAAGGGTAAGTTGGCCTGAGAAACCAGTTTCCTAGGTAAGCAGTCTAAGAGCTGTAAATTTTTGTGACTGAGATGAACTTGTCAGAAAAAGGGGCATATCTTAAATTTTTAAGCAGGGTCCCAGATGCATTTAAAATGATGAAATGCCATCCCAGGGTCATTTGGTTCAGGTCCCGATGAGAACACTAGAACAGCCTTTCCCTTTGGGAGTGAACACATTCTTCAGCCTTCCTAGTTGAACTGATGCAATGATCAGTGGACCTTGAATGGAAGGAAACAAATTTCTGTTTATCTTAAAGCTCCTCTCTTGTGCTTTTGCATGCATTCATCTTGTACTTTCCATTATTCTTAACTTAGTCATCCAGATTGCTGCTTAAAAAGGAAAATTACCCTCAAACAGACTTGGCAAACAAACAGATCTATCATTGTCCAGGGCTTCTGAATCCTTCTTAACAGATTCCTTCTGAGAAGGAGCTGTTTTCCTTCATGTTGACACGACATTACTTGGGACACCCCTAAGCAACCTTGGCCCTAAGTTGACTGATTCAGAAGAATTTACAGGCTCCTGACATTCAGAGAACAGCAGCCAAGTGTCACAAAAAACGGTAGGAGATGGTAATAATGACCTCCATTTAAGGTCACTGGTGCTTGAATGCTTTCGGTATGTTGGCACAAATTATGCCACATCCTGCTGATCTTGGAAGTCGTGCCAGTTTACCCTATGGGGTCAAAAGAATTTTGAACACAGTGACAAGAGGTTAAAGAGTCTGAGCTCTTTTGGCTTGAACAATTGATCCTTAATGGAAGACTTATGTGGACTGGGTGAGTCTCTGTGATTTTTCTGTTTGTAGGGACTTGAAATCAATGAGTTCAGATAGTTGAACAAGTTACAGGATCTCTTCACATGCTCCTGTTACCTGTCTTACATTAGGAGTTTGGTTATTGGATAAAAGACCCACTGCACATTTCTGGGTAGATGTTTACTAGAATTAATAGCTGGGTATAGTGGGTATGTTTATGTAATGATGCTGTTGGTACACATTACTGAGCGAGGATGACTTTCTTCCAGGTTATAGACATGAAATAGTCAGTGACCTCACAGCTTCATGCTACTTATTTGTGAAAAAAGGATTAAGTAGTTACTTCCCTCTTTTCCTTCTCCTTGAGTCTTTCATTGTTAAATAGAGGCTTTTGCCATCTGTCTCTGCCTAAATCTGCCTAGATATGAAAGACCATAGTTCAGACACACTGTATTATATAAAGGAAAATCATAATAATCTGTTTACACTATTAATTCTACAGGCTTCGTTCTAAAGACACGTTAAGTAAATGTCCTAGCAACCAAAGCACAGATTGATGTATTAATTAAAGCTATTTTGTTGACTAGGTCTCAATACTCTTGAGGCTGTGGGAATTGCACGTAGCTGTCATTTCATTGGAAGATAAGATAGGAAACAGGAGTTTAAAAGGTAAAATACAAAGATGTCAGTTTTTGATGTCAAGGTACATTCTTTGGGGAATTGAGCATTCTGAATGGCAATATAAATTCTTAGTGGTACAAGGCTGGGCAAGGGGGATTGAAGGTATATGGGTTTGGTTTCCTTGTGTTTTGTGCCAAGTCCTTCTTAGGCAGTTCTGTCTCATCAGTAGTCCAGAGGCATAGGCATCATTAACCTCAGTGAAGAGTTTATTACAAGCCATTGTTAGTACTTGTTTTTAAATAATATGACTCTAGTATTTAAATGAGACACACTAGCTACACCCAAGGTTCATTAACAGAGTATGAGCATATGCAAGGATATTTGAGTGTGTAAGTGTGTGATTTAAGGGCAGAGGTTTTACAAAACTCTTGTGTGATTTGGGGTATTTGGGGTATGCATATACTTCCCTCCACATGAGCTGCACACACTCATACCCCACCCCAGTTAAACTTGGTTTTCTCAATCAAATGTGAAGTGTGAAGAACCATACCCAGTCATGCATGATGGCTGGAAGACATCATTTGGGGCCATGTAAATAAAACTCAGGTCAGTCCATATATTCACACTGCAGATGTATAGTCACTGGTACAATGTGAGTTAAGCATTCTGACTGTCTGTGTGGCTGGTAGATTAGTTGTTGTCTGGGCAGAGTTTAAATCCTACTTCTATCTGACAGGGAGCACCCAGCCTTGCATGTCCCCACGTCTGTCAGTAGCTCCAGGTTAAAGGCCATATTTTGTGATGGCATCTCCCAGACAAGCACCAGGTACTCTTGGTGAGTCAGTGTTGTATGTTGGAGGAAGGATTGTCTTTCAAGGTGCCTGTTTTTCTATTTCCTTACCTGTCCTGACTTCCCTTTCCCCAGCCTGCTTTCTTCTTCTCCCTTCTTCTTCTCCCTTCTTCTTCTTCTCCCTTCTTCTTTCTTCTTTCTTCTTCTTCTTCTTCTTCTTCTTCTTCTTCTTCTTCTTCTTCTTCTTCTTCTTCTTCTTCCTCTTCCTCTTCCTCTTCCTCTTCCTCCTCCTCCTCTTCTTCCTTCAGAATGTTAATTAAGAAGTGGAACATTCTCAATTACAAATAGACATTACAGTTTTAAGGGTTTAGGATAGCCAAAATGTTAATTATACATTAAATCTAAGCTGAGTACAGAATGACTAGTACCTTTGTACTCAATAAATAATGCTAGTAATTGTCATGGGAATTGTAAATATATCAGGTACAATCCTTTGCTGTTCAATTAAAATACCTCCCCCTTTAAAAAGAAAAGAAAAGAAAAGAAAACGAACAAAACAAAACTCTTGCTGGGACTTTGGAGCTGGATGCTGAACTCCTTTAAGAATCTAAAGCTGGACAACCTTTAGAAAGGGCTCAAGGTCACAGTTGTCTATTTTCCTTTGAAAATGTGTGAATTGCCTCTCAGACACTTTTATTTTGCCTCAAGACTGCAACAGAAGTCTGTCTAGGGCTTGTGCTGACAACTGGACCAAATGAGTACAGCTCCCTTTCTGTACCATCAGCACAATTGGAGATTGCAAAGGATGCCTGTGGCCTTTAGTATTTAGTCATGGAATGTAAGAAATTTTCAACAGGAAATGTATCCAGCTTTGAAAGATTTTCATCTGATGCCGTTACTTAACGTGCATGCCTTTTGGGTGTCAGCATTTAATTCCTGCTTCCCCTGGGAGGTATGTGTGTTCAGCTAGCTTTCTCCCTCACTGGAGTCACCCATCTGATGCTGTACATGTACAGGTCCTGCTCCCATTAGTCATCACATAAGCAGTGCTAGCTGGTTTTGGCAAATGCTTCATTTTATCGACACCCAAGAGCATAAGACTCTTCATTCGCAGTGTAATCTGATTTTACTGTGAGGTTTTGGTTCTGGTGCAACCACAAAGTCAGCAGAAAGTCTGAGTTGCTTTTAGGTAGTTTATCTCTATGCTGTACTCACACTTATATGAGTTGACTGCTTTTAGAATCTTTAATAACAAATGTAATATCACTGTCAGCTTTTGAGTGCATGACTTAAGCAAATGTCAGACTAGCAGGTATATTATTTTATTTCCAAAGAAAGGCTTACTTACACCCTCGTCTGTGTGATTAATGCTTCTGGCCAGTTGGCTACAGAATTTGACCCGGCAGTGCCTGGCAGATAATAGGCATGCAGTGAATGGATGCAACCGTCATTGTGATTGTTATTCAAGGTTCTCAAAAATATATTTGAGCAAAGGACACTTAGAAACCGAAATGTCAGGTTATTGTGAGGTAAGTAAAGAACAGTAGGCGGAGCCTGTGGGCTGTGACATTCTCTTATTTCCATGAATCTCAAACTTAACCTCAGTAGGCAATGCTTAATGTTAGTTTTCATGTTTGTCCTGTCACATTTAAACTCAATAGATTTAGACCATTCAGCAAAGATGGGGCCAAGATCACTTTATCTTACTCATATTCCCAGAAGTCCTGTTCCTAGAATGGGGTGAACACACTGAATATTATATATCCAATTGCCTTAGTTATGAATGAGTGGGGTATGTGCAGTTTTGTTAATGACTGATTGAAAATGAAGGATATATTGTAATTAAGGGGAGGATTTGTGTCTCTGACTTTTTTTTGTCACCCTTCCCCGCCCCTGCCTCTTTTGTAGGGCTAGACCACACAGGGCATTGCACATGCTACAAAAGAGCTATGCCATTGAGCTACTTCCTTGGCTGCTTTCAATGTGACTGTGTCATGTTATGTATTGGTCTTGGCCGGTCTTCTATCAGGGATGTCACTCTTGTTCTATTCTTCTTGAGGTCCCTACTGTGTGCCAACTGTTATACTCCTTTAAAGATATAATCTCATCCTGATGTGTTAGGTTAGTTAGAAGTGTAAGAAATTTAATAGTAAAATGAAAGAAGCTTATTTGTTTTTAATTATGTGTATATGTGGGCTCCTATGTGTAGGCTTGTGTGCACACATGAATACATGTTCTTCCAGAGGTCAGAAGAGGGTGTTGGTTCCCCCAGAGCTGAAGTTACAGGGCATTATGAGCCCAGTATGAATGCTGGGTCCTCTGAAAAGTAGTGCCTGCTCTTAACTAGTGGACTATTGCTAGCCCCCAGAAAGAAATTTTTATTCAATTTTTATATTCTGAAATTGTCTATTAATCTAGTACATGGAGTAGCACTCTGCCATCTGTACTGGTTGTCTACCAGAAGCTCATGCCTCTGAGCAGTATACTTGATCACTCAGCTGGAAATCCTCAGTTTCCATAGGAGGAATATTTAGGTACGAGAACATCTGTAGAACAGTTTCTCAGACATTTCTACGGTCTTCTGTCAAGCTGCACAGATGTGCCTCTCATTTTGTAGCATATCTAAAAAGTGCTTCACACATATACATGCATACGTGTATATGCATTTATCTCAAGGGGGAAGGGAGGGAGAGAAAACACTATCCCAAGAGTCTGATCTCATGATTGATTCAAGATTGCTTATCTTGATTTTGTTTTCTTGAAACGGAAAGCACAAAGCATTTCTTTTTATGTTCTGACAATAAATATAGTGGTTGGTGTGAAGTAGTCAATGGGGATTCAAGCAGCAACGGATGTAGAAATAGTCTTTAGCATGATGCGTTTGTGAAGCAAACTCTTGAAAACATGGTTGACTTTAGATTTATTCACGCTCCCTGGAATTCACAGGGAGAAGTTTGAGTGGAGAGATGGCATTTGAAGGAAAAGGTGGGATGGTCAGATGATTGTTTTTATTCTGTGTGTTTTAAAATTATTGATGTAACATCAATGAATGTTTATTAAGCCAAGTAGATAAGCCAGATGAAAGACTGTGCTGTACAGTTCCTTTTGTGTTAAATTCTCTAACAAGGCAATATAAAGTCTGGGGAGAAGATAGACCAGTTGAGTCTGGTTCTCACTGGTGGGGCTATGTGAGAAAGTGGGGTTCCATATGGATCCTAGAGTTTCTTGGAAGTGATACTTATTTTTATCATCTTGATTTTGATGATGTATGTATATTAGATATTACTAAATGTTTATTGTATATAGTTGGAGTATTTATGTCAATTATACCTCAGTAAAGCTGTTAAAATAAAATTTTGTGGGGCTGTAGAGATAGATGTCTCAACAGTTAAAAGTGTTTGCTGCTATTGCCGAGGGCCAGAGTTTGGTTCCTAGCATCCATGTCTGGTAGCTCACAACCACCTATAACTCCAGCTCCAGGGACTATGACTGCCTCTTCTGGCCTCTGTGGGCACTTGTACATATATGTACATACTATTGCCCCCACATCAATCTTTAAAATGAAATTTTGCGTGGCATTAAACAGTTCAAATCAACGAACCACTTAGTTTGTTATCCAAGAAGACTGGCCTCTCTACTCTATTCTCCAGTGGGCAACCAGTGACAGGTCCTTACTAAAGATTCAGGAGATAGGCAGTTTAACAAGCACAGACACAAAATCAACGAACCACTTAGTTTGTTATCCAAGAAGACTGGCCTGTCTACTCTATTCTCCAGTGGGCAACCAGTTTCAGGTCCTTACTAAAGATTCAGGAGATAGGCAGTTTAACAAGCACAGACAGCTGCTATGTACTCAGCACTTGCCACCAACCACATATTATACTAAAAATAATGTTATTTTATGAATCATCACATTTCTAAAAGACAATTTTATTATCTCCATTTTGCAGAAAAGGAAAACAAAGCTCAGAACAGTAAATGACACGCCATCGACCACCTGCTAATAAGTGGAGGGAATGCCAAAATCATGACTGTCTGACTTAAAGTCCATGATATTAACCTCTGCACTCAGACCTGTTGGCATTTCTTTATGGTCTGCGTGACAGGGACTTTTATGAAGCTGTGACAGGGAAATGTTCAAGGCTGTAAGACTCAGTCAATAGCACTCTTCTTTCAACATGAGAAATTTCAGTAAACATTAAGGAAGCTGTGAATGTATACAGGACTGAGCATCTTTAGGGAAATCCTGGTCCTTTCA